CGCTTGAGCAACGGATGGCGATCAAGTTTTGTGTGAAACTGGAGAAGAGTGCTGCGGAAACCATTCCAATGTTGAAGAAGGCTTTCGGCGTCGACTGTCTTTCGGACACGCAAATTTTCCGGTGGCACAAGGCCTTCGCAAAAGGTCGGGAAGATGTCAACGACGAGAACCGCGCTGGACGGCCATCAACCTCCAGTTCCGACGACAATGTGAAACGTGTGCGTGACTTGTTGAATACTGACCGTCGTCTAAGTGTCCGTTTAATTTCCGAAACATTAGACATTACGAAAATCATTGTTCACGAAATTGTGTCGGAGTCTTTAGGAATGAGGAAGGTGTGCGCGAAGCTCGTGCCAAAAGTGCTAACGGACGATCAAAAAGCCGTGTCGCCTTCCAAGATTTTTTTAACCCCCCCGCTTTCCTTGATGACGTCATTACCGGGGACGAAATTTGGGTCCTTGAATACGATCCGGAGACGAAGAGGCAAAGTGCGGAATGGCACACGTCGAACTCCCTCGCCCCAAGAAGGCCAGGATGTCCAGGTCAAAGATCAAGACAATGCTGATTGTCTTTTTTGATGGCCGGGGATTGGTCCATCATGAGTTCGTTCCGCAGGGGACAACCGTAACCGGAAAGTTTTACGTCAAGATGCTGAAGCGGCTGAAACGCAGGGTGAATCGCGTCCGCCCAGACATCTCAAAATCCTGGAAGCTTCACCACGACAATGCGCCTTCGCACACCTGCTTCCTCGTGGCCGATTACCTCGTCAAGGCAGGCATCACCGTTGTTCCCCAGCTTCCCTACAGCCCCGATGTGCCCCCCCCAGAATTTTTTCTATTTCCGCGCCCCAAAACCCCAATGAAAGGACAGCATTTTGGGTCGATGAAAAACATTCAGAAGGCTTGCACCGACGCTTTAAAGGCGATTCCGGAAAACGACTACCGTGCGGCTTTTGATGCGTGGAAGACCCGCTTGAACCGATGTGTGGACGCAGGAGGAATGTATTTTGAAAGTTTCTAAAGATTTGTACACATAGAACCAATAAAAACCATTTTTCAAAGCTCACTGACATTACTTTTCGGACAAACCCTGTAAATATTTTTCAAGAACACATAAAAGTCTCTGCCTACTGGACTGTTTGAGTGTTAAAAAAAATATTTTATGTAATCTCAGACAGATTGGATACGATAACTGAAATAGCATTACCCCTTAAAGTCAAATAGCTCTAAAATTTTGAAGTCCGTTACCTATATAAGGATGCAAAAGTCGTAAGAAAAAAAAAACTGAAAAATCACCGTTTTTATGATTTGTTTGTCATAAAAAGCATCCATACATTGCCTAAATCAGCAAAAAAAAATTATGGCTATAAACAAACGCACATTGTAGTTTTTGTGCAGCCCTGTAAAATTAGTCCATATGACCATTTCGTCAGCCAGGATCTGTCAGTATATCACACTGATGATATCTAATAAAATTGAAATCCGGATCTATGATTTGATGGTGAGTGATGGATTTGATTGTGGATCCAGATTTGATGGTGAGGGACGATGGACGAGGGACCATACTCGCTTCATCTGAGGAATAGTCATTTTATTAGAATATTCATTCGCAAGTCCATTACAATTCGTTTATAAAGTAAAGCATGTAATAAAATAGACAGAGTAAATGCTAGTTATTGTTATTTTTCGATCTTGTGAATATTTTTTGCTTACAATGTAGCATTCGGTAAGAATGTTGCATTACTAACAAATTTAAATTCCTGTCTGCATCCATCTTATTTGTCACGTAACATCGCGCTTAATCAAAGAAACCGTCGAGCGAAAATAATGTTCGGTGCGTCCTCACCACGTCAAACCTACCCTAATTAGAAATGCTTGGCTTGATCTTCGGTTACAAGTGACTCTAGTCTCTAGTCTGTCTTTGACCTAATATGACCTCGAAACTAACGTCGCTTTGTCTTCCCTGTTGATTACTGCCATTATTTAGACATATGTTGTGGTTTTACATGGTATACAGGGTGTCCACTTTTTTGATGGAATTGCCTTGGTAACTTTTAAGTCGGAATTGCTTTGGTAACTTTAAAGTACGAGGTCGATTAAATTAGAAAAAAACATGAAAATCCCACAAAAAGCAAGGTCCTCGATAGATTCGCTTGGCAGAGTTTTTCTAAAAATACGGTGAAAAACTGTGTGTAAAATTTTTGTGAATCCGAAAAAATCACTTTCATGGTGCCATAAAATCAATGCTTAATTTTTGTCTGATTTAATACACCTTGGTAGGTTACACCAAACATCATAAGGGAATTACATCGAACAAATGGACACCCTGTATATACTACTATTGTAATAAAATTCAGTATATGAATGTGTATATCATAGCTCGGGTAATGAAATGATAATGCCATATATACGTGCAGATGCTGTCGTACTCATTTTACACCACCTATCCGATAATTCCTTGAGCTGGACAGTAAACAAAGTTCATTTGAAGTGGACTAATGCATTAATTTTTCCAAGTTTACACCTTAAACCTGGTGTGTAAGACACCTATGTATAAAACAAAATTTATTTCACTATTCGGAATTATTCCACTTCTTGAAAACCTAAAAATTACTTTACGTTGTATCTCGATCAACTTTCATAAAGATATTGTTGTTTACTGCATCCCCATATGTACATGTTATAATGATATTTCGTTATATTCACTTTTTGCCTTCAATTTTGACAATCAATGCCCATTTGTTTTTTTTTTTTTTTTGTAAAACACTACAAGTATAGAAGACACATGTTTAGGAATGATTTTACAAGTATTTGAAGAGTAAAGTACCTTAAATATTAACGCTATGTAAGTTATTAAGAAAAACTTGCATTTGCAATTCAATTTAATTACTCAAATATGAAAGCATGGCCTACTAGTCAATATTAAGTATTTTGAAGATTCCGCAATTTTTATCATTGTTATACGTTTGAAGTATAGCCATTTTCTTAAAAAAATATATGTTTACTAAAGGCGCCGACATAATAAGAAATCATAAACCCCAAAAATATTGTTTAAACATTTATTTTGAAGAAATTATGATTTAATAAACAAATTCAACAATTATTTTGAAAAAAACAGAAAAATTATTATTCACACACCATAACTAATCTACATGCAGGCCTCCAAGTTCAATACACCTCTCCAGTCTCGTTCTAAAAGATGTGTATGTTGAGTGGATCACTTCTTGATTTACTTGGGCCACTGCTGGAATGATCCGAATCTTGAGTAAATCAATATTGTATTCTATCGGCTGTCTATAAACTATTTCCTTCAAAAATCCCCAAAGGAAAAAGTCAAGTGGCGACAAATCAGGGGACCTTGCTGGCCAACAAATAGGTCCATATCTTCATCCCAAATTGTTTGTTAAGCCAACTGCGGACCTGAATTGTTGAGTGGGCGGGCCATCCGTCCTTTTTTCTATATTCTAAACTCTCTTCGTCTAATTCTGGCCAGAATTTTGATTTAAATTTTCTTTAAAAAATACGGACCCATTATTCGATTGGAAATAATTACACACCAAACATTCACTTTTTTGAAATTTTGACTTCTAGAAGTAACTGAAAAAGACGGATTTTCTTGTGCCCAAAAACGACAATTCTGCGACGATACCACTCCATTGGTAGAAAAAGTGCTTTCATCATCTTCTTCTTCTGCTTTCATCTACATTTCAGCTTCTGAATTTAAAACTAGAATTGTGGCTGCATCATCGTCATCATGGACTTTTTTATTTTTTTCCACATTTCACATCACTAGTTAATTCAAATTTTCGTACTAACTTTTTCAAACTTTGACGGCTAATTTCGACTTCTGGATGTTTTTCATGAAACAATTCAAATGCATGACGATAAGAAATATTGATACCATAACATTTAATAAGATTTTTATGTTGTAAAGTAAGCATTATTTGGAATTAAAAATCAATAACTGAAATTTCAAGCGCTTTGTCAAACAATAACAATTGCCTTACTGGAATTTCAAATATTCTAATTAGGGACTTTGAGAAGAAATAGTGTAAAGACAACCTATTAACTACAGTGTTGATAGACTAAATGATTATCTGGACGTGCTGTTTCTTCAAAATAAATGTTTAAATAATATTTTTGGGGTTTACGATTTCTTATTATGTCCGCGCCTTTAGTAAACAATTTTTTTTAGAGGAAAATGGCTATACTTCAAACGTATAACAATGATGAAAATTGCAGAATCTCTTCAAAATACTTAATATTGACTAGTAGGCCATGCTTTCATATTTGAGCGTTAAATTTCATTACAAACAGTTTTTCTTAATAACGTTTTTACATAGTGTTAATATTTATGGTACTTTACTCTTCATTATTATTTAATTTTTTCTATTTTTGAACACCCTGTATGTTAAATTGAACAAACAACAAATTTTCTGGATGTTTCAAGATAAGCAAAACTTTTTATGAAAGAATGACTTTTTGTCGAAAAAATCAAATTTTGTTTGTCCATTTCACCTATAGGTAACTCAATCCGGGGACACCCTGTATATAAAAGTATAGTTATACTTTCGAGTATTATAACTGTAAAATTCCCTTACTTGTAAAACATAAAATGCACTTCATGAGGTGGCCGGAAATCTCCTGACACATTTTATAAAATGAGCTTAACACAGCATCGACTTCATGAAGTGACTAGATTTTACATGAGTGGCCAGTTTCATTATCGACTACGATGCATGCATGTACATGTTCGCATACATGCTTCACCAGAATACACAGTGGCCTTTTGAATGTATTGGTACTTGCCTATATATCTCCAAACCTATTAAAGGTACACTTCATACATAAAATTTATAGAAACGTTTATCGATATTTTGCTTAGAAAATGCATTTTAACTACAGAGATAATAATTAAATTGCTCCTGCCAAATCCTACATGATTTTTCGAAAATGTACTGATAAATGACATGTTAAAAATTATTTTACTTTTTAATTACCGCGGCGATAGCTCAGTGGGTAAAGCGCCAGGTGAGTAGATGGCTATTGCTCCAAGACCTATTATCCGCGCGGGTTCGAATCCCGCCTGTGGCAATTGGCACCTGTCACAGGGTTTGGTTGTGTGTCCTACGTCTTTTCCATGTGTATTCTCCCTCTGTACAGTTGTAATGACTTAGAGAGAGAATGCCAATGTCTGTGGTGTGATTTATTTATTATTTATTTTATTAAGTGGGACTTGATCCCAAAAGGTTCAATTTCAACTCAAAAAGTATTTGTCATTTACACCTCTTATTTCACTTATTCTGAGACACACAGTAGGTACCATATTTTTAATTGTTAATACGATTTTAGATTCTTTATTTATTAGTTAAAATGTATTTTGAATCTGACATTTTTTAGACTCTGTACCGCAAAAGGGGTACAACAATGAACTAGGGTATAAGAACTTACATATTTTGACCTCTATTATTTACTGGCATCATTTATGCTATGCTATGCTTCTTACGTTTTCTTAAATCCTACGCTTCTTCATTCGGAACACGCTGTAAACCTTTGGAACGTGGAAATTCATTTGATTTAAAATATGTAATAGAATTAAATTAAAAATAGATAGAATGTCCCATTCAAAAAATAATATAAATTATCCTTTTTTATTTTGCGATAGTCTTTTCATTTTCTGGTTAGCATATTAAAAATCTCTTGATGAATAAACTTTTTAAAGGAGTGGCAAGTTATAAGGAAAAACCCTGTACTGTAGGATAATCAGGATAATTTTCCCTACTATTACTATCTTTTTATGAGTATTAGTTCTTGTAATGATTATGTTTAAAGCTAATGTTCAAAGGTGCGTACTTAATAAATGATAATTTCGCTAAATAAAGCTAACACTATCGTAGCCCTGTTTATTTTGAAAACATAACCGAATTGTGCTATAAGGGAAAGACTAACAAGGGACGACGATGAATAGGCATGCTTCTAATTGCATTAATAATCCATGTAACCTTTAGTAGTAATTTATGCGGCTTTGTGTGCTTCTCTAAAATTATTTCTCTCAAGAGGCATGTATTTATATAATTCAGTCCAATGAGGTATTTTACATAGTCGGTTTAAAACTTCTTTAACATATCGTTGATTTATTTCATTTCTGGCTCATTATTGATTTTTTCAATGTTCACGTCCTATTTCGGCTTTCTCTAAATACATATTATTATCAGATATGAATCAGATGAATTTTTAAGTGTATACAATGTGTTTCTAAATGACAATAACATACAGTAACATAGATGACAACTGTGAATTTGGAGCTCATGCTCATTGTACATTGTCAACCCTATGTATTTGTATTCACATTGGAATACTCACTGATTCTACGAAAGCACTTATACCAAATATAAACTTAATACGATGTTGCATTCGAGATTTATTAATAAAAATTTATGTTGGCTTGGATACCTTTAAGGCTCTGTATCTCAACAGGAGCGCAACATGGAACTAAGGTATGTTTAGTTAAATCGAATTACTTTGACCCCCAGATTCACTGGTATCATTTATGCTAATTAATTTAGAAACACCCTGTATATAGGATAGATTACACTGGCATACAAAAAAAAAAAACAAAATTTTCTGAACCCGAGGTCTGACATGTCAATTTTTATGTATTTTGATGCGCTGAATACGAATCCGAGTATGTCCGTTTTGCTCCATCACCTACCAGTTTTCCACAAAACTCCGGTTTTGGGTCAAAATTGCCCAAGAAAATATCAAAGTATATTTTTGTACCGTTTACTCTGGATATACCGTTTCCGGAGTATTTTTAACCTTTGAAAATGATTTCGTAGTCCAAATTTACTTCTGACCCTTCATTAACCCAAAAAACTCCAATTTTGAGCCAAAATTGAATAAAAAAAATACCAAAGTCTATTTTTTATACCATTTACTTCAGACATATCATTTCCGGAGTATTTTCAACCGCTATGAAGGATTACGTAGTTCAAAACTCCTCATTATTCAATTTCCTACAAATCCCCCATTGCGGAATACAATTTTATTTTTCTTTGTTTCTGAAAAACCTAAAAGTTCTTCAATTCAGTAACTTGTTAATCTTTGGAAATTTATGCAACGAATGAATAAGAGTTCTCATCTTTCAAAATATCTTTTTTTTTTCACAATTACTTTAATTTAATTACTGTGTAATGAAGATTATGTTTTTTCTTGTGTTTTATTTGTTTTCATAAAGTCATGTCTAAGAGATGGTTTTTCTCTTTCTTTTTTTTCAAAAGTACAATTTTGTGCTGGCTATTTAAACCGAGATTTAACTTTGTTTCAGTCACACAAGCTGCGAATTTGTCGTATCTGTCTTCTATTTGTAACTTACTGTTTGAGCAACAGTTTGATTGTCTAGATTTCAGTATGAGTTTGCTTGTGTATGAAAGTTTCAGTTAGAGTTTTGCTTCTGGATTTTAGTAGTAAAGTTTCTTTGTCTGACTTTCCAATAATAGTTTAGTCAAAAGCCATTAGTAACCGAAATAGAAAGGTAAAGTACTTTGTAATTTTTTTTGGCCATTTTGACCCAAAGTTGGTCTTTTTTTGGGTTACTGAAGTGTCAAAAGTAAATTTGGACTACGGAATCCTTTTCTGGGTTAAAAATACTCCGGAAACGATATATCTGGAGTAAACGGTACAAAAAATAGACTTTAGTATATTTTTGGTCGATTTTGGCCCAAAATTGGACTTTTTTTGGGTTAATGAAGGATCAGAAGTAAACTTGGACTACGGAATCCTTTTCAGCGATTAAAAATACTCCGGAAACGATATATCTGGAGTAAACGGTACACAAAATAGACTTTGGTATTTTCTTGGGCAATTTTGACCCAAAATTGGGGTATTGTGGAAATCTGGTGAGTGATGGAGCACAACGGACATCGGATTCATATTCAGCGCAAAATACATAAGAATTGACATGTCAGCCCTCGGGTTCAGAAAAAAAATGTGTGTGCCGGTGTTATCAGTACACTTAATAATTATTAGACCAATTTGAAGTATTTTTAGAGCCATACAAAATAGAAAAATGTATAATATTTTGGTTCATATATGTACAATAGTTGTAATTCCCAGACTATTAGCAACACTGTACTACGCAAGAAAATCAATATATGAGCATTTATGGAGACAGATTGATCATTAAATTGACAGTCAGGAGTTTCTAAAGAACTTGGCGTAACGTAGAGTGAAAGAAAGTGATCTTAAATACAAAATACGTTTGAGGAAATGCAGGCAAATCACAGGTTCTGGAAGGGAATATGGTCTGCTTGTTCACAATAACTATACGATTTATATTCCATAAACAAATAATTGTCTGTACAGTAGCATGAATATCAATTCCATTAGTAGAAAACAATCCATAGCACTATCGTCAATATGTTGGTTGATAAACAATTGACGGGACTGTTGTTCGACATTCGTGCGTTTCTTTTAAGAATTTCATTAAATATAAATAATATAAAATAACTAAAATAAGAGGAAAATTAAGTATAACCTCGGCAAACAAGAAGTAATGGAAGTAATATGAACCAAGTCTCAGAAAAAAGTTCGAAATCGTTATTCTCAATTAGGCAGTATTGAGTTCTTATCCAAAGTAATCTCGTATTTTTTATAAGGATGAAAAGACTGGCATAGGTACTGTATTTGATAGTATAACTTACTTATACTTTGTGCAAAATAAAAGAGGTAGTAGATCAGAAGTTGCCGTGTTGTATTAATAATAATAATAATAATAATAATAATAATAATAATAATAATAATAATAATAATAATAATAATAATAAGAAATGAAGAACGACAAGAACGATTTCTACAACTAGTGACCCACTATGAGCTCATAAATCCACTAAATAGGCCCAAGAATACCTAAACTCAGGAATGCCAACAAAGCGCGTGATATAATATCCGTGCCAACAGTATTCTACAACAATATTTGGATGGCACAAATGACCACAAAAGGCACATTTGGGGTGTATTGTGCTTCAGCACTCATCCTTGAATTGAATGGACAGCAAGTGTATACGCCGAACCCCAACCGAAAGAACAAGAACAGTGATGCCCCAATGTGGAGGAAGAGACTTGAGAAGAACATCGATGAGCATAGAGCTGACACTGATGTCCTCAACGAATTTCTAGCGGAAACAACTCTCGAAGGGTCATGGCTAAAACACAAGCCATAGCTAGAAAGGCGCAGATAGATCTGAATAATGCAGACCATCGGCAACAACTATTGGACCTCAAAGATCTTCTAAGACAAAAGGCGAAAGCGAAGGGTGCCAGGCTGCGTAGATACAAGAAGCTAACAAAAAGAAAACAACAGAATGCTGCTTTCGAGAACAACCAAAAGCAGTTTTGAGGAGCTTGGAGAAACAGGATGAAGAACAACCTGCAGAAATCGATCAGCGCGATTCACAACATACTGGAATTCTATATAGTACGCCGACACATACAACAGAACGCCCATGGATTGAGGAAATTGAAGCACACAACGAAGATCTCAATCAAATGCTGTCGGAATCATTACAGAAGAGGACGTAACCGCGGCAATCAAGAGGACCAAGAACTAAGACGGCCTGATGGGATTCACAATTTCTGGCTCAAGACCTCCGCATCTCGATTCTGGCAAAGTGTTTCACGGATCAACGATCGCAGTCGTACCTGATTTCCTGATGACAGGCAAACGTTCATCTTTTCAAAAAGGGTGAGCTGCCCAACCGAAGAACTACAACCCATGTGCTGTCACAATATAAGCGTTACGTCTATCATAAATGAAAAAATCTATCGTACTCTTGGAAAACAACATCTTTGAGGAAGAACAAAAGGGATGCATCAGAGGCGCAGCGGGTGTAAACATCAACTGACAATCGAGCGTGGTATTGAAGCAAGCCCAAGTAAGAAGAAGAAACTTGCATATGTGTTACATCACTACAGCAAGGCGTTCGACTCGGTACCTACGACTGGCTACTAAAGTCCTAGAAATTTACAAAGTCTGCCCTCGGATAAGAGCTCTTCTCCAACATCTTATGCAGTCTTGGAAAACAAACATTTGGTCT